AAATAAAAGGGCAGATTTGAGTTCATCTTAAAAACAAGTTTAAGAATTTATTACCCTGGTTATCCAGCTGTTGTACTAATTATTTGATCCACTCATTTTTTTTTTATTTGTAGACTATGCATTTTGATACACAGAGAAATAAACTAGAATGAAAACCCCTCAAAGCTATAAAAAAATAAAATTTCATTTTTCATTCACTAAGTTAATAGAAGTAATTGTTCCCAGACATCTGTTGTGCATCCAAGAGCCAAAAACAGCACTAAACCAATTTATAACAGGAAGTCCTGAGCTTAGTTTATTGTGTGCAATAAGTAAACCTGCTAATAAGTATTTCCTCTATAAACTGACCTCTTCAAACCAAGAAAGGAAATGTGCTTAAAACACGCGCCAGGGAAATAAGATGTTCAGAAATAAAATGATCATAATTTGCATTCCAAATGGGACCAAAGTCAACCAAGAACCAACATGCTGTATGTAATCGTTTGGTTCCCGCCTGCTTTAGCAGACATTTTACAGGGTGTCTTAATTTTGCTGTGTAAATGATTCAAAGAAGGTTTGGCAGAAGGTGGACAGATGAGGCAGAAATGTTGCTTTTAGTTCTCTGTATGGAGGAAGAAACAATCTCCAGAGTTAATCAAAGGTGGAAACATCATATTTTGATGCGTTTTCTTAAGTCTGGCTGCTTTGAGGTGCCAGTAGACCAAACCATGCAGACTAAAGCTTTGAGTGAGAACCTTCTTCCCAGTAGAACACAAAAGACTGGCTCTGGCTGGGTCTTCAAAAATGGCACAAAAAAAAAAACAAACAAAGAGTTTACTAAACCTGCCAATTTAAGGTCATCAGGACCCATGCTGTAGATATCAGTGGAAGCGTTGGAAATTACTTAAAAGAGAGGTCTTCAACCTTCCATGTCAATTCCATGTGGGACAGTTTGTGCACAGAAAATGACAGCATCCTTGTATAAAATAAAATCTCTTAATATGCAGGTTAAATCTTAATTACAAGAAAATGAACACTTACCCTAAACATAACCCCAGATATGTTAAAAGGTGTTTTTCTCCCCCTGTAGATGATTTATGGGCAGGACTAAAAACAGATGTTTTTTGTCTGACGAGGGAAAGGTGAACACTACAAGTTCTTTGTGGAGCATTCTGATACCGTCGCTTCTCGTGCTTCATTATAAATCTGTTAAAATCACTGCCGTGAATGAAAAGTGGAGTCAAAATAAAAGGAGAACGTTTCACGATGATCTGAATGATGGAGCGGCTGCCAGCACTGCCCTGAAACAAAGGAATAATTATTAGAGCAAGAATCAGCCTTCATCAGTCAGGGTTTGGACCAGAGCATAAGATCAGTCATGTCAGCTGCAGGGAATGCTGCTCGTTTCTTTTTATGGGAACTACAGGAGATCAACATAACTTCACATCTTCACAAGCTTTACATTTAATAAAAATATCGGATAAAGTGAGACATTCATAATTCTGAAAAAGGAGAAAATATACGGTAAAAGGAATTACATAAGCAATGTTTAATGTAGATAATATGGCTAAATATAAATTTAGATAAATTAGATAATGATATGAAGAAGAACAGTCTATTCTTTGTCACCAGTTATTTTCCATTAATCGCAAATAAGAAAGGCTTTAGAAAGCCTAGACAGCAGAGGGTTGATGGTGTGGTGGGTTGGGGGTTACCGCCAAAATTCTGCTACTCCTCTGGGGGGCATGACCTCTTCATTAAACACCTCTGACATAAATAAGAATAACTTCCTCCTGAGATGCTGAACATGAGATATAGAACAATACAACTATAAAACTAGACTGAATTTTTGATGCACCAATTAGGATTAGTACAGAAGAGGATTAGGGACAAAAAAAACAGCCCCTCAACAAAGAAGGCTGTTTAATTCTTACTTCATTCTCAGAATTCAGACTTTTAATCTCAGAATTTGAATTCAAATTATTTAGGACTCTATTGCCAAAGCCCAGGATTATTACTTTGGTGGAATATTACAGGCTGTCCCAATTTTATGAGCAAAATTCAGAGATTAGTCAGAATTCTGAGAATAAAATCAGAAATTAATAGCTATTTAGCATTTTTTTTCTCCAAGGCCTTAATCTTCTCTCTTACACTTCCATACAACTGATTTCAGTTTTAAAACCGTTAAATTTAGTTTTAGTTTTGTGAAATAATTTTACAAACTTTCAATTTAAGATTACAGGAATATTCATTCAGGCGGGAGAATTCAAATTCAGTTTCTGCCTATTGCTATGCTATTAGGACTGGGTTATTAATTGCATCTGAGATATAATTGCAAGTTAACAAACTGCAATCTTCCAACCAAAGTGTTTGTTTTATTCCAGGCCTTTAGGGGGTTGATATGCTTAAAATGGGTTTGCAACCACAAAGTAGGGAAGAGAGAGCTGTAGCTAGCAGGGTCTGTGCAAATAGTACAAATTGCTAAATAATGACATCTAAGCCAAAAAAGTGGTGCATCAGCAGTCACCATAATTGCTGGCAGTTAGGAAGGAGGTAGAAAAGGAAGCAGGATGCTTCCTCTATGTAGCTTATTTAGCACAGGGACCTCATGACATTCCCATCCTCTGCATAGGAGCTATAAAGATACCCACAATCCTTTGCGTAATGGGATGTATTGGCATAAAAACCTCAAGGAGTAGAACAAAAATATATATTATTTTTTTACATGTTCTCTCACACATTCACATCTAACCAACTTCACACATTTTTGGTTTTATAATTGAAAGCTTCAGCTGTTTCTCTACATTTTTTTTTATAAACTTCTATTCCACACAGTTTTGCAAGCATAGTTCATGTGTGTTTCCATCACGTAATGACATCCAGAAGGCTTAAGGCTGTCTGGATTCCACAAAAAGGTGAAGAAACAGGAGCTAGAATTTACACGATTCAGAGTCAGAGCCATGCATGGGAGTAAAAGTAAGCATTTTCCAACATCACAGTAACAGAACAGTTCTGCGACAATAGACTCTGGATGAGCAAGCTTTCAGAAGTCATGAAAACCCTGCAGTTAAAAATGCTTGTGGCTGTTCAAAGGAGAAATCATAAAATAATAATCTCTGCAATATTGGTTGACAAAGAAAGATCACAACTTGGACTTTCTGGAAAATGGTTCAGCCCCACAGGTACGAAAATAAGTGTTTGAACACCCTTCTATTATGCTAGTTTTCCCCCTTAGAAATGATGGTGCAGTCTGACATTGTCATCGTACTGGCATGTGAGAGACAATCTAAAAAAAAATCCAGAAATCACAATATAAGATATTTTAATTATTTATTTGTATGATAAAGCTGCAAATAAGTATTTGAACACCTTTCAGCTAGAATTCTGACCCTCAAAGACCTGTTAGTCTGCCTTCAAAATGTCCACCTCCACTCCATTTATTACCCTAAATTAGATGCACTTGTCTGAGGTCATTAGCTGCATAAGGACACCTATACAGCCCATACAATCAGTAAGAATCCAACTACTAACATGACCAAGACCAAAGTGCCCAAAGACACTAGAGACAAAATTGTGCACCTCCATAAGGCTGGAAAGGACTATGGGGAAATAGGCAAGCAGCTGTGAAAAAAGGTCCACTATTGTAGCAATCATTAGAAAATGGAAGAAGCTAAACATGACTGTCAATCTCCCTTGGACTGGGGCTCCATGCAAGATCTCACCTCGTGGGTCTCAATGATCCTAAGAAAGGTGAGAATTCAGCCCAGAACTACATGGGAGGAGCTGCTCAATGACCTGAAAAGAGCTGGGACCGCCGTTTCCATGGTTACTGTTGGTAATACACTAAGACGTCATAGTTTGAAATCATGCATGGCACGGAAGGTTCCCCTGCTTAAACCAGCACGTCAGGGCTCACTCAAATACTTATTAGTGGGTGAAATTGCAAAATAGCAGGGTGTTCAAATATTTTCCTTACTGTTTGTGTTTATTTCTGCACAATAAATGCATTTCTCATCTAATTAAATTGATTTTTGGTTCAAACTATTTACTAATAGTCTATTAAGAATATGAATACTTGAGAACTAGTTAAACAATTTACAGAAAAATAACTTTTGAAGTTACATTAAATCATCTCCTGTCCTCGTTTTACCAGTTTAAATCCTATCTGCATTCCTGTGGCCAAAACGTTTCTCCTCTAACTTCGCTGCATGTGGGAATAAAACCTTGTTTCTCTAAACTACATGCAAAGCATTTCTAACTTAACATATTTTCCTCCTGGAATTCTATTAATTATCTGAGCAATGAGAGGAAACCGATTTAGCAGGAGAATCAAAGACTTCCTCCTGTTTAATGCTCCAATTTGCCACCATTCTAACAAAGGACTCTGAGTGACCTCAACGAGTCCGACCAACACTATCAAGTGAGCCAAGGTCGATCTGATTACATCAGCCGACAGCCCGCTGACAGAGATTTCACCGCCTGAATAGACGTCATGCATATTTCAGGAGGACAAAGGAGGGAGGAGAAATATAAACAACATTTGAGGTGGTTTTCTGAGTTCTTAAAAAAGTTTAGGATACTAAATGCAGCATCCTAAATGTTACCAAAGTAGGTAAACGCTTTAGATGATGTCCTTTGAACCATTAAAAAAAAAAGACAAAACAGAGCATATGTGGGTGTTATTGCATTATATTTGAACATGGACAACACAAGCCATCAAAATAATTATTAGTGTCCAAGCTGGAATTAATTACATCACCCATAGATTTATCATCAACTCTGAGGAAAGAAACAAAAACTACAAAATAGCTTCGTCACAGTTGGATCATCTGAAAACGTCGTTACAACAAAAGGGTTTATTTTGTTGTTTGTTTGTTTTTTAAATTAGGTGTTTTTGCACGATGGAAGTCACATGTCGTTCTGGTTCTTTAACACCATGCATCTGAGTGTTAACAAAATACGATCAACATAATCAGAAGAAAATAAAATAAAATGAAATGCATATCTTTGCTTTTTTTTTATGCACAGCTTTTCCCAAACATTAGTATCTCATTCTCAGTAATAAAGATACACAACGTGGTGAAAATGTCGTCTCTTCACACAAGTCTTTTCAAAACAGACATCACATCACCTCATATAAAAACACTAGCAATAAAAAAAAATGAGTCGACACGGTCCACAAACCATAACCTGCTGCTTGACCTTCAAGTTAACACTGCTTTTTCATAACACTGAAGACTCCTGCTTCACTAATAGTGAGAGCCACTTAATCTCTGTAGTGTAAAGCTACCTTTCACTATCACCTCTTTGTAACCAGTTCTTATTTCTAACATAAAACCAAAAGATGTTATGAAATTTACAATAAAAAAGAAGAATGTGACGGCACATGCTTTCACAACTGTTCCATCACAGTATAATCATGTAGTTGAGGAGGAGATCTTCTGCTGTGTAATATCTAACCAGGTGAGGTAACGTGCGACACATCTTCACCTCTGCTGCTGGTTTGCAGTGCAGTAAGAATGTTTTATATCAAAGATCTTGTTTCTCCCACATCAGAAAACAGAGTCGGTGCTTTTTCCACCGCCAGCAACTACAACATCAACATGCGGGGGGGTCTTGTTATGTGCTCAACGATGTTTCCAGAAAAAAAGGCTGGAAGACAAAATAAAGCCATTTAGGAAGTCGCTGCAGTCACCTTCCTCTTCGTGGTATGGGACGGTCCGCTGTGGCTCCCCAAAGGTTGGAAACGCACAAAAATAGAGGGAGTGTTTGTAGACTGGAATAAAAATAAACATGATGGTGGCCTTATGTTTTCTAGTAGTGTTCGAGTGTTGCGGGTGTTAACACACGCGCACTGGGTGTTCTGCGTCATTAGCTCCCGCAGTTACACGCGCCCGACCTTGGCGTCCCCGATGGCGCCCCAGACGTCAAAAACAAACTCGTCGGGGAAGGCGAAATCTCCCAGGGTTTCATCCAAAGCCTCTGCAAACTCATCTGGGTTCTTCTTGTCTTTGCCCAGCTCTACCATTGTGGCCGCTGAGGACAGAAGCAAGGTCGTTTAATCAACAGGAAAACAGTTAAAGCAGAACAGTCTGCAGACACATGCTCCTACCCAGCTCGCTGTCCCTGATGCCCATGTAGCTCTCTAGCAAATCATCCACCTTCTCTATCGCCTTCTCCTCAAATGCAGAAGGCTGTGAGAACATAATAAAAAAACATGTAGATCAGTTAAGCAACAGATTAGTTTAAACAAACAAACAAACAAACAGCCCAGAGAACTTCTGTTTTCAGCTCACCAGCTCCTCCACTGTGGCAGGACCTTTAGAGCGCAGACGAAGGGTCCCTCTGCCCGTCCCAAGTTGGACCCCTGATCCTGACCTGGAGCCGGAGGACCTCTGGCCGATCATATCTATGTCAAACAAATCACATATCTAGCGTAAACTAGAGGAAAATCATTGGGTAGCCCATTTCAGCTTGTTCGGTCACATTCTAAAACACATATATCTATTGTTCTCTTCAATTAGTGTTTAAAACATTGAGCGTAAAGTGGTAAGTAAAGGAAGAAGAATCATAGTTTATTTTCAGAGCCAAGGAGATGTTCAAATATAAAGTTGGGCTGAAACAACTAGAATCANTGGTAACTTAACAGACAGAATTTTTCTGTATACACCTCACTATAAATCACTCTTTTATATCTTGTATAGCTTTAAATATGTCAGCTTTAGGCTAGTAAGTGCAGTTATTTTGGTCTTTGAAGGTCATTTCATTAAATACTGTAACTATTTTTATATAATGAGGCTTTTCATGCTTTTTCTAAAACCAGTCTTTGTAGCAGACTTCATCTTAAATGTTAAAATCCAGTGGAGATCAAGAAATATGACAAGAAAGCTTGTAATTTAAGTTTTCTTCAGCTCACCAAAGGCTTTGAGAGGCTCCACAAGTTTGATGGTGAACATTTTCCCCTTAGGAAGCTCCTTCAGCATTTTGGCAACTTCATAGTGTCGACAGCCAATGAGGCGATGGCCGTTGATGGACTCGATCATGTCGCCTACATTAATGACCTGGATTTGGTGGATGATGCTTCCCTCCCTGATCCTCTGCAAAGGGGCAAAAATTTAATGTTTCACATCAAGTTTATTCTGTCTTTCTTGGCAGATGTTCATTTTCAATCATTCCTTACCTTAATAAAAGCATAACCCGCTCCGTTATCAGTGATTGTCAACCCTAATGCATCTTCTCCTTTAAAAATTTCTATTTCCTTCTTCTGGCCTTTAATGTGAGCAAAAATGAAGTCCTCCAGCCCGATCTGTCCCCCTAAAAGTTTATCCATGTCCACCTTGTGCGTGTTCAGCGTGCAAAACATAACCTGTGGAGGAAAAAGCATTTAGCTGCAGCCTTGATCCCGACCAATGTGTCTATAGTTTTCCAACGACTAACCTCAGATGGTGGGATGCCAAAAGCCTCTCCGATCTTGGCGTAGAGCTCTCGCACATTGCTGAAGCCCTCAATGCGGCCCGTGGGGCTTCCGTGAGCTAGTTGGGTGTGGAAAATGAGCCTGGGTCTCATGCTGTTTGGTGGGGGAGGAAGGCCGTCAGACCCTGCAGCTTCCCCTACGACCCCTCCATCCAGGCCTTCCATACCTGGCACGTTGAGACCCCCACGAATGGGCTCTGCCTCTTCATTCTCCACCAAAGGGGATGCTTTTTTCCTTCTCCCCAGTCCCAGAGGCATTGTGGACGCCGCTGAAGGAAGTTACCCCACAAGCCAGACCAACATAAACCTGTGGTGCTGACTCAGCAGCAGATCTATTCAGTGTTTATGTTAAAGTCCTGTAGACCAGTTTATAAGCTGTATCAGCCAGGCGCTGGATGGATGTGGGAGGGCACACATCAGAGCAGCTCACATTGCTGGGTGTGTAAATTCAGCTGGTTAATGAGGAAGATGATCAACTGAAAGAGAGATTAAGAACAAAACTCCAGTTAATTTAATGCATGTAGCAGATCCTGGAGGAACCCCATGTACTCTAAACTCTGTCATTGGTTCCTTCAGGGATATCTGAGTGTTAAATCTAAAGATATGTTACTCTAATTAAAGTTATCTAACACCACGTTGCAGTTTAGAGAATCAGAACATAAGTCAAGGCTAAGATTAGCAGCTAGCTGGCTTCCAGTTTAGCAAAACATTCACTTCAGCTACATAGTTAGCTCAAAACATAAAAATCAAATAAGGTGCCTGTGACGACAAACGGCTACACTTCGGAGGGTCAATTGTTGAGTGTTAATTAGCACGATCGTTAAACATGAACCGAGAAACATGGCAGGGCTATCCATTCTAACTGAAACAAGACACTTATCTCTTCCTGTTAGCCTAGCATCCTGCTAACTAGCTATTTGCTGTTCGTCAGAATACAACCTTGTTCCTGTGAAGCTAAACGTCTCCGCGGAGCCGCTTCTGGTTGCTGGAAATCGTTTTTCAGATCAAGTTGATAGAAAATGACAGCAGCGTGTGTTAGCGGCGGTGTGTTGTTGTAGAATTAGCTAATAGCCAACCAAGCTGGGTGGAACCGATGCCTTCACGTGACCTCGGAAATACCACCTCCTCTCCCTAAACTGGTGAAGATTCTAAAATAAAAAAATATAAATAACTATTTCATCTATACTTCGAGCATGCAGGCGGATATGAATAGTTTCGGTACACCTTTTCAAATTATTTTTAGTAGAGAGGGACATAAAGGTAAACATTTACAAACAAATATAAATACCGAATTTTTAAAAACAAATTTCCCTAAACCTAATTACTTCTTAAGTCTTTTTTTAAGCATATCCTGCCGTATTTCTCACTGTGTGATTCTTTTCTGCCCTCTAGTGGTTGATAATTGGAGTTGCTACAAATGAGACTAAAATCAGGCTTAGACATACTTATTTTGTAATTTTGTAAAGTGTAAACAAAACGAAATTTCGTTCAGAAATGTATAAAATCTATTTAAAATAATAAAAAAAATTAAATAAAATCAGATTCTCACTCCTGACATCTGCTGCCTGCTTAGTTCAATTCTGTTCTTTATATATCTACATGTGTTTATTATAATGTTAATATTTTACACCAAAATCCTTTTATTTACCTTACAGAAAGTGATTGATCTTTGGTTATGTAATATTAATTTGAGTTCATCTTTGCTAAGCAGTGTCAGTAACAGCATGTAACTGGGGAGCTACTTCATTTTTATGTATTAAACCTGATGCAAAACTATTACAATATCTGCTTTCTTTTAGTTTAATTAAACATATGCTATATCTAGTTCACTAATGCAAAGTTCTAATTTATTCCTTGAAAAAAATCTTTAAAAACAAATTAAGTGAAAATAAATCTGATAATCACATTTTTAAAACTTATTTCAGTAAATCAACTCATAAATGAAATGCATATATGATGTAAAAACACTTCACTCTGAGTGACGTGACATTATAATAAAATTGTGAAAAAGTAAATCGTTTCTGAAATGCTGATTAGTGCATTATTATTTCTTTTATTTTTGATCCTTAATGTGATTCTACTGAAGGTAATGCATACTTTACAGTATTTATATAACTCATTTTCTTTTATCAAAACATTAATATCCCATTAGTCTTCTTGGATATAACAACATGTGAACAGTCAGCTTCTTCGCCAATGACCCATCTGTACCTCTGTGTGTTTTTTCTGTAAGCCATAACATTACTATGTTAAAAATAAATTTTTTTGCAATAAATATCAGAATTTTTGGCTTTTTTTTTCAGTTATTATTTGTGACCCTTTCAAGTCAAAGTTAGCATGAACAATTAAATCATTATTCTGTGCCATCAATGATTAACATCCTCTCCTTTTGAACAGAAATGCTAAATATTTTATACGGGAAATCAAATGAGAGACCCCTATTTCCACTACAATTCAATAAATGTTTTAACATTTCTGTTTTTCCTTTCATTTTAAGAAATGAGAAGGAATAATCTCGATATGGTGAGCGGAAAAAAAAAAAAAAAAATACATGTTCCAGGAATATATTATTTGAGAAAATATTTAAAGCAAAACTCTTGTTATTGAATTAATTTCTGACAAAGGGATTTGTCTAATTCATGTACATATATTGGTTTACCTTAGCTGTAGCTGCTTTTTACAGTTAAATATTTATTATATAGTAGTTATTCCACAGAACAGTTTTGTTTTAAGAGCCTTAAGGTGTTGCAAGGGTCTAATATTAATAAAAATGAACAAAAAGACATCCCATCTATTGAAATACTATAATATTCACCCCAAATGAAAATAAAACAGAAAAAAAGACACACCTGAAGCCATCAAGCTGTGCTTTACTGTTTCTTTAATGTAAAACCATAAAGGATAAAAAAAATTATCCCACGATGAAAGCCTTCCTGTTAAAAATCAAAGGATTTTAAATCTTCAGCCACAGTTTGAAAAGCACAAACAATAAATGAATGCTTTTAATATCCCCCTTAAAAAAGGAACAAAGTTTGCAGGAGTTTTACATACAGAAAAACAAACAACCCAGAGATGACACATCCAATGGTTTTAACCTCCTGTCTGCGTCCGAAAGCTGAAACCCTGCGAAAATTAGAGGAAGCAGCAAGTCAAACCTGTCACATAAAGGCTGAAATATTCCCTGACTTTTTAACCACAATCATCATTCTTACGCCAACAATCTAGCAGTGATCACTCTAGTCTGTGGATCTACTCTCCCCCAACCCCCCAGGAAGTGAGTAACTTAGACTAAAGTGTCGGCAGTCAGTAGGAAGCAAAGCTTTTTAGACCAAAAACACTAATTTTTCCTGTATTAAATAAGCATTTATTGGTCTAACATAATAATCATTTACATTGTTGAAAAGGGAAAATCGATAATCACGGTTATTGTCAATCAGACACGGCAGCAGGATTTACATTAGGTATAATTTAATTATACAGACAGTTGCTTGGCACAAAACAATGATGTACATACGGAAAAAAACTTTGTTTAAACAGCTTGAAGCTCTTTTACCGATCTGGTAAATATATTTTCGCTGCTAAAATGTCCTTCCCAGACAGGAAATCATGTTATCTGGAGGGGACCCTATTTATTAGAACTTGAGGTTCTTATATGCTTTATGTTCTTATTTTAGGGCTGCATTTTTACTGACACTAAATAGATAATATGCTTTTGCATCTGGGAAGCTTTGATCCACGTACAGCTACACTCAAGCATGCATCAGCGCACCTGAGGTATGAAGTAGCTGGCTAAATGTCACTTCTAAACTTCCCAATAACAAAAAATAATCCTCTGCCACTAAACGCCATTAGCTGTGCAAACTTAAAACATTTTGTTTTTGCAATGGTTGCATCTTCTTCCATCGAATAAAACCAAAATTCGGTCCTGAAAACCCAACAGGAGTAAAACCCAAGCCTAAGTCGTTCAGGCCAAACGATGACGCCGAGCGGCCCTGGAAATGTTAGCTTGTTAAAATGTCCTTCGGTCACATGGGGAGAATCTGCTCCAGTGCATCTCGCGTGCTCTCCCCTAGTTTGTCGGGAAATTTTACAGAGAAGTCCAAGATCATGTCGCCTCTTTTTTCCGGACACTTGGATAGAGGAAGCCCCTCCCCTGCGATGCGCTTCTTCGTCCCGGGCTTCACAACTTCCCTGGAGCTCACGGTGATGGTGCGACCGTCCAGAGTGGGCGCCTTAACCGTGCATCCGCACAACGCCTGCAGACAGACACCAAAACACGAGTAAATTATGTGAACTTTATTTAGAATCGACAAAACTTTACATTTTAAGTCGTAGGAAAAGGATTTGATTTTTCTTACCTCTCTAAGTGAGATTTTTGCAGGGTAAACTATATCTGATCCGTCTCTCCTGAACACCGGGTGGGGTTTGTCCTTAACAACAAAAACCACGTCGGCTGGAATGTTGGTCGGAGTTTCATCGCCCTCCTTGGGGAAAGTGATCTTCGTCCCCTCTTTCCATCCACGTTTAATATTTACTGTTAAAATCTTGTCCTCTTTGCGCATGGTGCAGCCGTCTGGGTTCAGTCTCTTGCGGGAAATCTTCATCTTTTTCATGCACCCGGTGAAAACCTCCTCAAGGCTCACCTTCAGCTCGTGCACCACGGGCGGATCCTGCCTCCTCTCCTGCGCCCTGTGCAGACCCCCGGGGTGGCCTTTAAAGGACCTATGAAACCCCCCCATTCCTCCCATACCGAACGCAGAGAAAGGATCATCGATGTCGCCGTCAATAGAGGAGGAGAAGAAGTGATCGAAGGGGCTGCGCCCGCCAAAGAACTCCGCAAATATTGCATGAGGGTCTCCGTTGAACGTGTAGTTGAAAGTGGGGCCACAGTGCTCTCCGCCGTCGCTTGAACCCTTTAAGCCTGTTCAAAAAGAAAGAAAAGGTTTTAGTTTTAAGCCTCTGCACAAAAGCATCAACAGTCAGTCCTGCAGTCCTATTTCATTTTGAATACTTTAATTCAGAGGTCTTCAACGTTTTCAGACCAAGGACCCAAACTGATGGAGAGATGGAGGGAGGACCCCCTAATTATATATATTGCATGAAATTTGGTTATATCAAAGTGGTCCTATAGTCACTCTATCACAGATGAGGTCATGTAATGAAAGTAATTTCTCCCTGGGATTATTAAAGTATTTCTGATTCTGATTCCTGGTCGATGGGACAGGTGTTGTGACTGAAACGGTGCCCAGCTTGAAAGAGCTCCTGTGTGTCGCTGAATGTGTGCATTGATGACTGAAAGACATCTTCAATGCCCCATTTATCGGTTTAATACAGTATGTTAAATTCATGTTTATGTGTATTTGAAGATTAGTGGAAAAAATTGCAGGGGGGAATATAAAAAAATTTTTTTTTGAAGTCTAAGCAACCAAAACTTTTGCGACCTGCAGTACCTCAGTGGACCCCCTGTTAAGACTTCCGCTTTAGTTTAAATAACCTCTTTTTTGAGCAACAGTCAGATTAATGGAGGGAAAACTTAAACCAAGTGATTGATTGATACTTTAGAGCTAAAAGCAACAATAAAAGGACTGCTACACATATCTATAAAATGGAAATTAACCTTTATAGGGCAAGTTATTATTTTTGATCACTTGCATAAGTCTAGAAGCATAAGATCTATATCCAGCCATTCAGCAAAAATACCGCTACATGGCTGTACATCTTATTTTTGTATTTGACCAATTAGATGATATTACCTACTGTAAATTAAGTTGAAAAAAAAGTTAACAAGCCAAGAAAAAAAAGGCAAACATCTTATTGTAAAGTTAAAAAGTTAAGCCTAGTTAACAATTATATTTAGGTATCTAAACAAAAAAATGCGTTCATGCATCTAAGGTTATGCTGTAAGTGAAAAAAGTGTTTTTCATGAATTTCTTATAGAAGCACTTTTGTGATTTTTCTTAATATATTTAGGCAAGTTGGCATTTCTTGCCGTCACATTGACTTTTGCCATCAAAATATCCGTATTTTCTTAATGTTACAAAGGTATTAAGTTCTTGTCCTGGATTCCAATAACACTATTGGCTGTGCCCTGTAAAGGGTTAAGAATTTTTATTCTCATTTCCCCCACTTATATATAAAATGATCATACAACTTTAGTTATTCTTAACAATTTTTAAGTGGCAAAAGAGAAGAAACAGAAGTTAGGGGTGAATAGGAGCCCCTTTAATAACAGATTTTATGTCAATAGACCTCTGGAATAAGTAAAGTTACATAGAAGAAACAGCGCCCTCTGGTGTCGAAATACTGTTTTACAACAAGGGTCCCTAAAGTCGCTTATATGTTGGATCACCCCCGGTTTTAACCCACATAAACATGACATCTACCTGTGTGCATCAACACAACAAAACACAAACTAAGCGTTAAAGTACAAACTGGTGTAAATTTCGCTTTTTGTTGCAGCAGAACTGCAAGCTGAGCCAGAACAGCTCATGTTTTCCAGCAGCTTCTGCAGCTGTATCCATTGTTCACAGACTTTTAAAGTGAGGCAACTGATGCAGGAGGATTTTAAAACCTCACTCTAATAGATGGATTGCATATAAGCATGCACTATAAATATCAACGATAAAATATATATATATTAATAAATAAATAAATAAATAAATAAATAAATAGGAAGCAGCTGTGCAAGTTGTTAGAGAGGGTTAGGATACAGTACCTTCTTCTCCGTATCGATCGTAAATGTCTCTTTTCTTGGAGTCGCTGAGGACATCATAAGCTTCTGCAACCTCCTTGAATTTGTCTTCAGCTCCGGGGGATTTGTTTTTGTCCGGATGGAAGCGCAGAGCCTGTTTTCTATACGCCTTTTTGATCTCCTCGTCAGACGCACCTCTGGCTATTCCCAGCACATTGTAATAATCTTTCCCCATCACAGTGACCGCTATAAAAGCACAGTGAGCGCGGACATCCAGGGGCTCATGTGTGCGGCGCTACAACTCCAGGTCACCAAAGCCGCAGCTCGTGTTCCATCCGCGGGGAGAAAAATAAACTGACAGTCCTGAGAAAACTTTCTGATTTAAGCCTCTGAGCCGCGGAAAGAAATGCCAATTTATTTGATCGAGTTTACCTAATTAAAAAGTATAGAACAAAGTGTACTAAGTGATGAGTTGCTGCTTTGCTGGATAGAAGCCGGGCGCAGAAACTTCTGGAAGAAGAAGCTGACGAATGTAGGTCGAGAGGATTCCCTGCTAACTACTTCCGGTTTCACCTGACCTACTTAAAGGCGCGCCGTTGGATTTAAATTTTTTTAAAACTGAACCAAACAACCAGGCGAACTTTGATAAATTAAACTGATATTTTATTTGTGTAAAAACGTAAACGACCCATAGTTAGTATGATTTTTGTAATTAATTATAAATTATTTGCTGACCCCGCTGAAGAGGAGGGCTTCCGCTTTCGCGCCCTTCAAAATAAAGCAACACTGTTTACATAAATGTTATTACACAAATTTAGAAACACACTTAGTCCCCCAAATGACGGCATTTTTATTACGTTTTCAAGATGAAACCCAGGGAAACTTTATTTAAATATACTATCAGAGCTTTGCTGTGCTTTGAAAAGTGTCTTTTTTCTTTTTAAGATTTATTGTGTTTTCAGTTTGTCAGGTCCTCAAAACAATTTATCATTCAAGAAAAAAAAAAAAAACAGTTAATACACATGGTCCATCATACTTTGATTGTTAGGGGGTGGGATGAGAGAAGACTGCCACCCCACATTAGGGGTTTCCAAAACTTGCAGTCTGTAAAACCAAAAATAACAATGCAATAGACTGGAAACATACAAAATCTCTATTTATTTATTTATTTATTTATTTATTTATTTATTTATTTATTTATTTATTTATTTATTTATACATATGATGTGCAGCTTCTATTTATATTTTAATACTTTAATAACTGTATTTATTAAATCAATCATTTTAAATGTATTTCATGGGACCTTTAATTATTAAATTGTGCATTTTACAATGTAAAGGCATCTTTAATATTTAAATCATGTATTAAATAAATTCATAAATTAGCTTTCATTGTATATTTTGTCCCTCCATATATCTCAGGAATGACATCAATGATTATACAAACCATCTCGCGACCCCCATAGGAGTCCTGACCCCACTTTGGGAAACCCTGTGAAATGACTGCAGAGAAACATATTTCCTTTCTCCCCATAAAACACAAAATCTAACGCTGAAAAGAGGAGGAATTTGTTTTCTTAAACTTTAATATATTAATGTAAATATCTATTTTTGTTTTTGTTATCGTTGATTTATAGAATTTAAGAATCAAAATGTGAAATGAATGTCATTAGGAAATTCTACTTGAGAGCATCCCTGCTGCCCCCCTCTGGTTTAGAGAGGAACTGCTTGTTCAAGAGTTGGTCATTTGAAGATATTTTGGCAGATTTTTGCAAATCTTTTAAAAGACCCGCCCTCTCCAATTAAAAAAAATACAAGTGTGAGATCATGCACAAGTCAATTTCTCTTCTGTTTAAAAGTTGCAGTTCTCATAACTCATACAAGCTTACTCTGCCTGAACATTCGCCTGTATAGTGTGGCGAAATCTTGATAAACTATATAGCAAACTAAGTTAACTTACGGTTCGGACCAAAGATCACTGCTTTTTGCTCCTTTGGTCACATAACTCTTCCTCCACCGCATGGTGTCTGTGCCATCTTATTTTTTTTTTTAGTTTTTGCACTAGTGGCTTGTTTTTTGTTTTTTTTTCGACAGTAGGCTGACAGGAAAGTGGGTATGAGAGAGGTGGAGAGACATTCGGCAAAGGACCACAGGTCAGATTTGAACCCTGGTCGGCTGCGTTGAGGACTAAGTACATGGGTCGTGCCCGCTAGCCGCTGTTCCACCTGCACCCCTTGGTTATTAGTCGGGTATGCTGCTGGGTAGCGACATCGGGCTGCTGTGACAACAAATCCCATAATGCTTTGCGAGGGGTGCTTTCCGCGCAAAGCATTCCGGGATATACCTGCCTCTTCTGTGGCCTTTCTTTTCTTCTCATACACTTCGTAGAAACTTTGTCTCGTACGATAGAGTCCTGCACGGGTCGAGTTTTACCAACCCGCACCCACCCGAACCCGTTAGGATGACTACCGAACCCGACCCGTCACCCGCGGATATCTTCAATTCAAATCCGAACCCGACCTGACCCGTTGATATTTAACCCGCAACCCGACCCGTTAACACATCAAATAATAGGCTATAGTACGCTGCGCTGCAGAACAGCGCCATTAACACTGCAGCAGACGTGTATGCACTGATTGTGGCCTTTTTGGAGGGAAACCCACAATGCCGGCAGGGCTTTAAGCTACAACAAGGGTGACCCCAGTGTCTGATTAATATAACATTTGTGATGTCCATAACAACACACGCATAAAAAAAAAAATCAACAACTACCCGCCTGCACTAAAAAAATATCCGCCCGACCCCGCGTACCCGTTTATTTTTATTTATGTATTTTTCACCCACAAAAGAGCATTTTAGCGGGTGACCCGTCGGGGACCCGCGGGTACCCGACACGTTGCAGGACTCTATCGTACGACCCACTGCCATTTTCAAAGAACAGCGGGGAGAAAGGCGGGCTTCAATGACTCTCTGAAACCGTAGCTCACTGCAGATATACACCGGAAAGTGCGTATGCGCAGAAAAAGAGAGCTAACTGGGGGCGAGCACGTAGGACGGCCATACGGAAACATATCACCAGAATGATTGAAAAATAGGAGGACCGCTTATTTAGATGATCCACCCGGAAATAAAAGATCGTCCTCTATACCTTTAAGTCCACGTGGGAAAAACAAATCACCTGCTTTACTATATAGCCAACCCCCTAGCTCCGCCCTGAAAGATCCAGGAGGTCACAAATAACCGATAACACCATCTAAAGCACCACTGGCCTTACTCTTCTACGTTAAATGTACCGTTTATAATCCAATAAAAAAAATTTATAAAGAAAAAGGCTGTGGCATCTAAACAGAGCACAAGTGCCAAAAACTGTCAAGAGGACCGAATGGCTTTAGAAAAAACATAATCTGCTGCCTGGTAACACTTGGACTTTTTGAGGACAAACATCATCTTGTTAGATTTGGCATAAAACCAACAAAACGTTTTAGAACCCAGAAGAAAAACTCCTCTATAGCAAAGTTCAAGGTTAACTGTTAGTTTTCTAAAATTATATTTGCTACCCCTCATGGGTGGCACCTGCAGATACTTTGTTTAGTAGCCATTTAAATTTTTTATAGGGTCAGATTGATTTTGATTGCCTTTGCCATTAATTATTAAAGTTATAATTTTACATTTTCATTTTTTTAGCTTATCTATAGCAAATTTTTAGTAATGATGTAAAATAATTTAGGTGTGACAAAGACAGAAAAACCAAAAAGCTTTTAGATGGAGCAAATACATTTCTCAAAAAACAGAGAGTACATCTTATTTCCATCCAAGTTTTTATTTAAACTTTAAGTTTTTTATTACATTTGAATAAGAATAATAGGACAAATGACCCACTGCTTTTATTTATTAAGTAAAGTTGAATGCAAACAGAACAAGCTGATTGTTAGAAGATAAAACAAAAACATCACTGCTTTCCTAGAATTAATAAGTTATCAGCCAACAAAATGCATTTGATAGATTAAAATATCAGGAAGTGTGGACCTCTCATGCAGGGGTGTTGGCAGCTTTATGGTCCGGAGCATCCGGCTGAGATGAGTATTAATACAGTGCCAATAACCAAAGACGTCAGCAATGACCTTATTGAAGCAATTGTTGCTGCCCATCAGGATGGGCATGGTTGGCAGGCACCTACCAAACAATCCGAGGGATATTATTCTGCAGTGGTTATAACATTTAATACAGATGTTAGTCTTCCCTGGATTGAATGTTCAAGCAATATCACTTCTTCTTCAAACTGTTTGTTATGTTATTGGGGCTGCTCAGTGGAACAGTGGGTAGCTCTGCTGCTTTGCAGCAAAAAGGTTCCAGGTTGATTCCCGGCCTGTGGTCTTTCTGCATGGAGTTTGCATGATCTCCTTGAGCATGCATTAGTTCTCTCCGATACTCCTGCTTCCTCCCAGAGTCAAAAAACATGACTGATAGGTTAATGGCTTCTTTAATTTTACCTTAGGTGTGAGTGTGTGCATTAATGGTTGTTTTTCCTGTTTGTCTCTGTGTTGCCCTGTGATAGACTGGCGACCTGTCCAGGGTATACCCCGACTCTCACCTGTGGACAGCTGGAGATAGGCACAAGCACACCTCACGACCCCACTAGGGATAATTTAGAGAAACTGCAATAAAACCCAGACTTCAATCAGTGTGATAAATGTAAATGCATGTTTCAGTAAAAGGAAAAACCTTACTTATTTCTCATTTTTTTCCCTGGGTCAAAATAATTAAGTACCTAATTAAGAAGTTGCACACCCAGGAATCCTTCTTTGCTATTTTCATCTGCCAATTGTTCGCTAAAACACAAAACATTATGAAAAATATGAACAATAATGGAGATAAAAATGGATCAAACAAAAACAAGTCATGCCTTGTATGGAGGCCCAGAGGAGTCAGTGAAAAGAAGTATGTTTGACTCGAACTGCACTGAACTCTGTAGTCAGAAATGTTAAATAGAGAGGGTTAAGTAACAAGAAGATGCAGCAAATGAAAAGGGGACTTACCCTTTTAAATGTTTCTTAAGGAAAGTTACTTTCCTTAAGGGTTTAGAATATTTTAAAACTGCAGTATTTAATAATGGATTAATAAATACCATTAATTATTCAGTTTGAAATGTGCAAAATGTTTGAATTACAAAGCACTTTTTAAACTGGAATTTGTAAATATTTCATTTATTCATTTATTTATTTCCTAAATTCATTCTGTTTATAATCTAATGATGGATGTACAGACTTCACAGCATGGGGTCACTAATGATGGACTTCTACAACAGAGAACATACTCACACCTAAGGAGAATTTAGAGAAGCCAATCAACCTAACAGTAATGTTTTTGGACTGTGGCAGGAAGCCAGAGTACCTGGAGAGAACCCACACATGCATAAGGAGAACATGCAAACTCCAATGCTGAAAGACCCTCCGTCCCACGCAGGGAATCGAGCGTGCTACCCACTGCGTCACTATGCAGCCTTAATAAAAACAACACC